TTTGTCTTTTTTGTTTATTGACAACCAATAACACAAGACAAAGAAAAGACCAGAGTGTTAATCTGATACTATGAATAAGTACAGGCCTTGTGAACAGCACTGTGTCTTCTTCAAGGCTACAAATTAAATCAGTTTCTTTAGTTTTATCATTACTCTCCCCAAATGTTCTCAAGGTAGGTTGGATTATGATGTATAGATATTCTTCAATTTATCCTGAATTTACATACCATAGTCCTCCCACAATATATCTGCCATAGAGCTCAGCAATTCACACTCAAAATTAAAATGGAATCAGCTTGAATTCAGCTTGATGTCCTAGTATGAAGCATTCAGACATTCTAAGACTGCTGACATTGTAGCACTGATTACATCACTTTCCCTAGATGTACATTAGTAATGAATGTGTTGAACAGTCATTGCAGTATGATGTGTGGTATTTGATTGAATAATGTAATGTGACAGAAATTAGATTGAATGTAACTGTAATAACCCATACATTTTGTTATACATTATCATTATTCATTACTCTCCATCTTGGATAATGGATGATCAGGAGAAATACCATAGCCCTCCAACAATATATATGCCATATAATTCAACATTTCACATAGCCCTCCCACAATATATCTGCCATAGAGCTCAACATTTCACATAGCCCTCCCACATTATATCTGCCATAGAGTTCAACATTTCACATAGCCCTCCCAGAATATATCTGCCATAGAGCTCAACAATTCACACACCAAAATTAAAATGGAACAGCTTGATGTCATAGTATGAAGCATTCAGTCATTCTCAGACTGCTCACATAGTAGCACTGCTTACATCCCTTTCCCTAGATGTACGTTAGTAATTAATGTGATGAACAGTCATTCCAATATGATGTATGGTATTTCATTAAATTATGAAATGAGACAGAAATTCAATGAACAATAATAACTAATGCATTCTGTTTTACATGATGATTATTAATGACTCTCCATCTTGGATAATGGATTATCAGCAAGATGTGAGTAATTACTTATTTGTCTTTTTTGTTTATTGACAACCAATAACACAAGACAAAGAACAGACCAGAGTGTTAATCTGATACTATGAATAAGTACAGGCCTTGTGAACAGCACTGTGTCTTCTTCAAGGCTACAAATTAAATCAGTTTCTTTAGTTTTATCATTACTCTCCCCAAATGTTCTCAAGGTAGGTTGGATTATGATGTATAGATATTCTTCAATTTATCCTGAATTTACATACCATAGTCCTCCCACAATATATCTGCCATAGAGCTCAGCAATTCACACTCAAAATTAAAATGGAATCAGCTTGAATTCAGCTTGATGTCCTAGTATGAAGCATTCAGACATTCTAAGACTGCTGACATTGTAGCACTGATTACATCACTTTCCCTAGATGTACATTAGTAATGAATGTGTTGAACAGTCATTGCAGTATGATGTGTGGTATTTGATTGAATAATGTAATGTGACAGAAATTAAATTGAATGTAACTGTAATAACTCATACATTTTGTTAGACATTATCATTATTCATTACTCTCCATCTTGGATAATGGATGATCAGGAGAAATACCATAGCCCTCAATATATATGCCATATAGTTCAACATTTCACATAGCCCTCCCACAATATATCTGCCATAGAGCTCAACATTTCACATAGCCCTCCCACAATATATCTGCCATAGAGCTCAATAATTCACACACCAAAATTAAAATGGAACAGCTTGAATTCAGCTTGATGTCATAGTATGAAGCATTCAGTCATTCTCAGACTGCTCACATAGTAGCACTGCTTACATCCCTTTCCCTAGATGTACGTTAGTAATTAATGTGATGAACAGTCATTCCAATATGATGTATGATATTTCATTAAATTATGAAATGAGACAGAAATTCAATGAACAATAATAACTAATGCATTCTGTTTTACATGATCATTATTCATGACTCTCCATCTTGGATAATGGATGATCTGAAGACCGTGAGTAATTACTTATGTCTTTTTTGTTTATTGACAACCAATAACACAAGATAAAGAAAAGACCAGAGTGTTAATCTGATACTATGAATAAGTACAGGCCTTGTGAACAGCACTGTGTCTTCTTCAAGGCTACAAATTAAATCAGTTTCTTTAGATTTATCATTACTCTCCCCAAATGTTCTCAAGGTAGGTTGGATTATGATGTATAGATATTCTTCAATTTATCCTGAATTTACATACCATAGTCCTCCCACAATATATCTGCCATAGAGCTCAGCAATTCACACTCAAAATTAAAATGGAATCAGCTTGAATTCAGCTTGATGTCCTAGTATGAAGCATTCAGACATTCTAAGACTGCTGACATAGTAGCACTGATTACATCCCTTTCTCTAGATGTACATTAGTAATGAATGTGTTGAACAGTCATTGCAGTATGATGTGTGGTATTTGATTGAATAATGTAATGTGACAGAAATGAGATTGAATGTAACTGTAATAACTCATACATTTTGTTATACATTATCATTATTCATTACCCTCCATCTTGGATAATGGATGATCAGGAGAAATACCATAGCCCTCCAACAATATATATGCCATATAGTTCAACATTTCACATAGCCCTCCCACAATATATCTGCCATAGAGCTCAACATTTCACATAGCCCTCCCACAATATATCTGCCATAGAGCTCAATAATTCACACACCAAAATTAAAATGGAACAGCTTGAATTCAGCTTGATGTCATAGTATGAAGCATTCAGTCATTCTCAGACTGCTCACATAGTAGCACTGCTTACATCCCTTTCCCTAGATGTACGTTAGTAATTAATGTGATGAACAGTCATTCCAATATGATGTATGATATTTCATTAAATTATGAAATGAGACAGAAATTCTATGAACAATAATAACTAATGCATTCTGTTTTACATGATGATTATTAATGACTCTCCATCTTGGATAATGGATTATCAGCAAGATGTGAGTAATTACTTATTTGTCTTTTTTGTTTATTGACAACCAATAACACAAGACAAAGAAAAGACCAGAGTGTTAATCTGATACTATGAATAAGTACAGGCCTTGTGAACAGCAGTGTGTCTTCTTCAAGGCTACAAATTAAATCAGTTTCTTTAGATTTATCATTACTCTCCCCAAATGTTCTCAAGGTAGGTTGGATTATGATGTATAGATGTTCTTGAAATTATACTGAATGTAAACTCAGTAAAAAAAGAAACGGCCCTTTTTCAGGACCCTGTCTTTCAAAGATAATTCGTAAAAATCCAAATAACTTCACAGATTTTCATTGTAAAGAGTTTAAACACTGTTTCCCATGCTTGTTCAATTAACCATAAACAATTAATGAACATGCACCTGTGGAACGGTCGTTAAGACACTAACAGCTTACAGACGGTAGGCAATTAAGGTCACAGTTATGAAAACTTAGGACACTAAAGAGGCCTTTCTACTGACTCTGAAAAACACTAAAACAAAGATGCCCAGGGTCCCTGCTCATCTGCGTGAACGTGCCTTAGGCATGCTGCAAGGAGGCATTAGGACTGCAGATGTGGCCAGGGCAATAAATTGCAATGTCTGTACTGTGAGACACCTAAGACAGCGCTACAGTGAGACAGGACGGACAGCTGATCGTCGTCGCAGTGGCAGACCACGTGTAACAACACCTGCACAGGATCGGTACATCCGAACATCACACCAGCGGGACAGGTACAGGTTGGCAACAACAACTACCCGAGTTACACCAGGAACGCACAATCCCTCCATCAGTGCTCAGACTGTCAGCAACAGGCTGAGAGAGGCTGGACTGAGGAATTGTAGGCCTGTTGTAAGGCAGGACCTCACCAGACATCATTGGTAACAACATCGTCGCCTATGGGCACAAACCCACCGTCACTGGCCCAGACAGGACTGGCAAAAAGTGCTGTTCACTGACGAGTCGCGGTTTTGTCTCACCAGGGGTGATGGTTGGATTCGCGTTTATCGTCGAAGGAATGAGCGTTACTCCGAGGCCTTTACTCTGGAGCGGGATCGATTTGGAGGTGGAGGGTCCGTCATGGTCTGGGGCGGTGTGTCACAGCATCATCGGACTGAGCTTGTTGTCATTGCAGGCAATCTCAACGCTGTGCGTTACAGGGAAGACATCCTCCTCCCTCATGTGGTACCCTTCCTGCAGGCTCATCCTGTCATGACCCTCCAGCATGACAATACCACCAGCCATACTACTCGTTCTGTGCGTGATTTTCTGCAAGACAGGAATGTCAGTGTTCTGCCATGGTCAGCGAAGAGCCCGGATCTCAATCCCATTTAGCACATATGGGACCTGTTGGATCGGAGGGTGAGGGCTAGGGCCATTCCCCACAGAAATGTCCGGGAACTTGCAGGTGCCTTGGTGGAAGAGTGGGGTAATATCTCACAGCAAGAACTGGAAAATCTGGTGCAGTCCATGAAGAGGAGATGCACTGCAGTACTTAATGCAGCTGGTGGCCACACCAGATACTGACTGTTACTTTTGATTTTGACCCCTCCTTTGTTCAGGGACACATTATTCAATTTCTGTTAGTCACATGTCTGTGGAACTTGTTCAGGTTATGTCTCAGTTGTTGAATCTTGTTATGTTCATACAAATATTTACACATGTTAAGTTTGCTGAAAATAAACGCAGTTGACAGTGAAAGGACGTTTCTTTTTTTGCTGAGTTTATATTCCATAGAACCCTGATCCTGACACAATAGAGTGTTTCTGCCATAGAGCCCAGTGCTGGTTATCACTTAACATGAAAATAATAATTTGATCGGGATAGGCCAATAACTAAAAAAAGATTATTAATTAAGTTAACCAGATCTTATTGGCGCCCACAGCCCCTACATGAGGGAGGCTTGAGAGACAGGAAACATCTGATTGGTCCTGTTTGTTCTGTATATAGTGATGTAGTCTACCAGACAGAACTCACCTCTCTTTTTTACACCATAGTCTCAGGTTCAGACTATTTACAACATGAGACCCAGGAGGACAAGCTGAAGAGGGAGGCATCAGCTGGTGAGCTTGGTAAGTATGAGAGAGTCTGGAGGAGAGAGGATTGGTTCAGGGAACATTAGTGATGTTATTCCTTTTTTCAGACTAATTCATTTGGTAATGTATCAAATAGTCAATAGATCAGTTGATTGTTGGTTCAGCTCAGATAACTGTTGACTGTAGAAAACAATTATTGTACCACCTCCATCAAATTATAATGTGTCTTTATAGGCATACTATTGAATTAATGATACAACCAATTAAATATGTTAATTGCTTTCGCTCAGAGTTGAAGATGGAAAAAGAATTAAAAGAGATATTAATGAGAGATGAGATGATAAAACAACTAGACACACTGGATGATATGACCCAGGAAGTGAGAAAGAAAGAGAGACTACTGGAGGAGAAGAACCAGACAATGGGACAGAGGGATAAACTATTAGAAGAGAAAGAAAACCAACTGGAACAGAAAGAGAAGCAACTAAAGGATAGAGACATTCAACTAGATGCACTGAGAAAGAACCTGCAGGACAAGAACAGCCAAGTAGAGAACTTCAGAGTCCTACTGCAGGAAAAAGACCTTCAACTAGAGGCACTGAGAAAGAACCTGCAGGACAAGAACATCCAAGTAGAGAACTTCAGAGTCCTACTGCAGGAAAAAGACCTTCAACTAGAGGACAGGAACCACAGAATGGAAGAGAAGGACAGACTACTGGAAGAGAGTGAAAATGAACTAAAAGAGAGGAGGCAGGAACTAGAAGAGAAAGATAAACTACTAGAGGAGAGAGAGAAGCAGTTAAAGGAAAGAGACAAACAAGTGGAGGATGTCAACAACGAAAATGCTGAACTGGGTAAGATTATTACAACCATTAATATATTTAGTCTACTGTACTTTCCTCAATTCTCAGGAATATTGTTTTACATCACTTTCCCTCTGCGTCATATTTCTGTCTAAAGTATTTAACACAGAATTCAGATGTTAGTCTTCCTTTGTTATTTCAGCTCAACAGATATGTGATGTGAAGACTGAGGTAGAGAGACTGAGAAGAGAGACCTCCGCCCAGATGACTGGTGAGTGAGATACATGATACTTAACATTAACATTTCACGAGAAACCCAGAACTACCATTAAGTAGGTCTATGTGCCTTCATGTGTCACTGAGGTAAATGTTCCCATTCTAAATTGTTGTTATGTGTTGTTTTAGAACATGGAGAGACCTCAGATACAGGTTCCATAATAGCAGTCAGGAGAAGACACAGCATGGATGGTCCTCCAGTCAGTGAGTTATCAATATTGTCCTGCTTTCTCCTACTGTTTCTAGTCTATAGTGGACCATCCTCCAGACAGTGAGTTATCAATATTGTGTCAAACATCACTCTTGATATTCTCTATTTTCTTCAATAATCTATATTTCACTATGATGTGTAATGTATTTGTTGTTTGTGTATTCTATGTTTTAAATGTGTCTCTGATGAGTCAGTATGTTGACCAGTTCTCTATGTTGTGTTTCAGTGGGAGGAGAGACCTCAGGTACAGACCACACACTTCCACTGAGGAGGAGAAACAGCAAGGAGTTAAATCCTCCAGATAGTGAGTTATGGATGTAGCTGACAGTGCATTCCGAAAGTATTCAGACCCCTTGACTTTTTCCACATTTTGTTACGTTACAGCCTTATTCTAAAATTGATTAAATAAAACATTTTAGTCATCAATATACACACTACCCCATAATGGCAAAGCAAAAACAGGTTTTAGATGTTTTTTCAAATTTACAAAAATAAAAAACAAAACTAACTTATTTATGTAAGTATTCAGACACTTGAGCCTCGAAATTGAGCTCAGGTGCATCCTGTTTCCATTGATAATTCTTGAGATGTTTCTACACGTTTATTGGAGTCCACCTGTGGTAAATTCAATTGATTGGACATGATTTTTTAATAATAATTTAATATGCCATTTAGCAGACGCTTTTATCCAAAGCGACTTACAGTCATGCGTGCATACATTTTTTTTGTGTATGGGTGGTCCCGGGGATCGAACCCACTACCTTGGCATTACAAGCGCCGTGCTCTACCAGCTGAGCTACAGAGGACCAGAGGATTTAGAAAGACACACACCTGTCTATATAAGGTCTGAGGGTTGACAGTGCCTGTCAGAGCAAAAACCAAGCAATGAGGTTGAAGGAATTGTCCGTAGAGCTCCGAGACAGGATTGTGTCGAGGCACAGATCTGGGGAAGGGTACCAAAATATTTCTGCAGAACTGAAGGTCCCCAAGGACACAGTGGCCTCCATCATTCTTAAATTGAAAAAGTTTGGAACGACCAAGACTCTTCAACGAGCTGGCCGCCCGACCAATCTGAGCAATCGGGGGAGAAGGGCCTTGGTCAGGGAGTACAGAGAGTACAGCAAGAGATCCTTGATGAAAACCTGCTCCAGAGCGCTCAGGACCTCAGACTGGGGCGAAGGTTCACCTTCCAACTGGACAACAACCTTAAGCACACAGCTAAGGCAATGCAGGAGTGGCTTTGGGACAAGTCTCTGAATGTCCTTGAGTGGCCCAGCCAGATCCCGGACTTGAACCCGATCGAACATCTCTGGAGAGACCTGAAACTAGCTCTGTAGCTACGCTCCCCACTCAAACTGACAGAGCTTGAGAGGATCTGCAGAGAAGAATGGGAGAACCTAGCCAAACACAGGTGTGCCAAATTTGTAGCATCATACCCAAGAAGACTCAAGGCTGTAATCACTGCCAAAGGTGCTTCAATAAAGTACTTAGTAAAGGGTCTGAATACTTATGTAAATGTGATATTTCCGTTTTTTATTTTCAATAAATTTGCACAAAAATCTAAAAACCTGTTTTTGCTTTGTCATTATGGGGTATTGTGTGTAGATTGATGAGGGAAAAAACAATTTAATCAATTTTAGAATAAGGCTGTAACGTAACAAAATGTGGAAAAAGTCAAGGGATCTGAATACTTTCCGAATGCATGTTATATTATATTTTACACTGTGTTGTACATCGTCCAGAGAGTTGGTGTGTTGAGCAGTGCTGTGTTGTGTTGTGTTGCAGTGGGAAGAGAGAGCAGCAGTCCAGACTCCCCAGTGTCTCCCAGTGTGTCTGAGCTGAGACTGGTGCTGCTGGGGAGGACTGGGGCTGGGAGGAGTGCAGCAGGAAACACCATCCTTGGCAGAGAGGAGTTTGGGGCCCAGGCCAGCCCCTCTGCAGTGACCCAGAGGAGTAAGAGGAGAGAGGGGGACGTGTCTGGGAGACGGCTGGTGCTGGTGGACACTCCAGACTGGTTCTGTCCTGGACTCTCTCTGGATGAGATGAGACAGGATGTGGGGCTCTGTGTCCGTCTGTCTGCCCCGGGACCCCACGCCTTCCTCCTGGTCATACCAGTGGAGCCCTCCAGGGGGGAGGAGAGAGGGGTGCTGGAGAGAATAGAGGAGATGTTTGGGGAGGGTTGTTGGGGACACACTGTGATTCTATTCACCCATGCTGATGGCCTGAAAGAGCAGAGCATTGAGGAGTTTCTCCAAGCAGGGAGCCAGGACCTCCAGCAGCTTGTAGAGAAATGTGGGAGCAGGTACTACGTCCTCAACATTAAGGACAGGGCCCATGGCACTCAGGTCCCAGAGCTGCTGAAGCAGGTAGAGGAGATGGTGGCAGGAAACAGAGAGAGATTCTACAGCAGTCAGACCTACCAGGAGGCAGAGGACCAGGTCAGAGAGATGGAGGGAAAGATCCAGAGAGACAAAGAGGGGAGGAAACAGAGGGAGGAGAGAGACTTGAGAGAGAGGCTTGAGAAGGAGTTGCAGGACTCTCTGAAGAAGATCGAGGGAGTGATCCAGGAACATGAAGGAGATATCAGAACACTCAGTGAAAGAACCACTGAACTGGAGAGACAGATGAAAGAAGAGAGGGATGAGGAGAAGAAAAGAGAGCTGGAGAGAGAGCTGAAGAGAGAGTCTGATAGGAGGGAGGAGATGGAGAGAAAGCTGGAGAGATTTAGAGAGAAGAGAGAGAATGAGAGGAGAGAGATGGAGGAGAGTCACAGACAGGAGATAGAGGAGATGATGGAGAACTATGAAGGAGAGGTCAGAGTTGAAGCAGAGAGAAGCCTGATGAAGATAGTCCTACCTGAGTTACAGAGGAACATCATGATCTCACATACAAAGATGGAGAGGGAGTTCAGCAGACAGATGGAGGAGAAGAATAGACAGATGAAGGAGAAGGATGGAGTGATGAAGGAGAAGGATAGAGTGATGAAGGAGAAGGATAGAGTGATTGCGGAAAGGGATGGAGAGATAGAGGGACTGATAGAAAGACTGTGGGAGATGTGCAAATGAGATCTTGTAACTACCCTGAAGAGCTACTCAGATACATGGAGAGGTAGAAGAAAAGAGAGGAAGTACACAGGGAGAAAAGTCACTTTCTGAGCACTTCTACAATGGGCAAATATGTATGGAAGGTTTTGTTCAAATCATTTTGGCAAATGTAATTCAATTTACTGCTGGCCTATTTGACACACCACCTATGGTGAGGGGAATTAATGTGTTTTTCATAGGTGACAGTCTTTACAAAAGTTTGAATTATGGGAGTATACATGAACAATTATGTTTGTTGAAAAGAGGGAAGGGAGAGCTACATTCCAAACCTATTTGTGAGTTGCTCGTTCAAACCATATAGTAACTAGCATAATTAGCATTAGGATGGTTGTCACATGGAATGTGGGGTTGGTTGTTACTATCAAGTCCATTATAACCACATTGTTCAGGGACATTACCACTGCCAGTTTACACTAAATCCCCAGCTCTTTTGTGCTGTTGTTATAAAGACCTCCCTTCCCAGGAAATACAAACACCTTTGGCTGACATATCAAAATGTAGAGTGGAAAACGTTTGCACATTGGAAAGACGTCGCCCAGACCTCAGTATAGAATGTTGATACCTGGCCAATATATAAACGATGTAGCACTGTAGAATTTAGAATGTAGGTATTCTGAATAAATCTGTGAGACACTTAGCCAAATAACAAACTATGTTTAAATTGCATCTTCCCGATGCATCATGTATACTGTACATCTGTTGTACAGAGGTATCTGTGCTAGCTGCACCATCGAGAGCATCCTGACTGGTTGCATCACCGCCTGGTATGACAACTGCTCGGCCTCCGACCGCAAGGGGGCCAAGCTTCCTGCCAACCAGGACCTCTATACCAGGCGGTCTCAGAGGAAGGCCCTAAAAATTGCCAAAGACTCCAGCCACCCTAGTCATAGACTGTTCTCTCTGCTACCACACGGCAAGCGGTACTGAAGCTCCAAGTCTAGGTCCAAAAGGCTTCTGAACAGCTTCTACCCCCAAGCCATAAGACTGCTGAACAGCTAATCAAATGGCTACCCAAACTATTTGCATTGACACCCTCCTTTATTTAAGCTGCTGCTACTCGCTGGATATGATTTATTATCTATGATGACTTTATCCTATCCCAGGTATTCCTTAAAGAGGTGGTTACATGTTGTTATTACAGTGTAACTATTGGTTGTTAGAGTTAACTACAATACTTGTTCTGGTGTAATTACACATGTAATTACACTCTATAAGGACCCCTTCAAAGGAAGTGTTACCTTAAATACTGTCATATTTAAATCTCAGAGATCATTTGCTAAACTCTGATTTACCACCCCAAAATACCGCCACACAACGTCTCCTTGCGCCTCTATTGGATGGAAACTACAAGTGTAATGGCTGTGTTCAATGCAATGGCACTTATACATGTAGATCCTTCAAACACCCCCCAAACAAGGAAGCAGATCCCAATCAAAGGTGTTATCTCTAAGGAAGTTACAGTATTTATCAAATAACTTGTCCTTGTGCTTAAAATTATGTGGGCAAAACAAAGCGCAAACTGAAAGTAAGAATCTCTGAGCACCGTAGCTACTGCCCATGTTTTAGAAGCGAACTACTCTATTTCCTCTCTTTGCTATATGCTATATCGACATCGAACACGTCACCCTCCCTAGGAGAGGGGGTGACCTTGACAATGGCGAACGTGCATAAAGATGGCAGAATTCACATATGACATAATTGTTTTAGCACTATCCACTGAGTTTGTAAACTATGGTGCGCGACATGGTTCAATGTGCCAGTAAATCAGCACAATCTACTTTTTAATTTTTCAAATTGCTGCCGTCTTGGAGCTAAAATTGGCGTCATGTATACTGTGCTAATGACCATACTAAAAAAAGAGTAACGGACAGCAATGTAATATACGGCGAACTTAGCAAGACAAGGAATTTGTGGTAAGTACATCTTTATGCACCTCTGCTATTTATTGTTAAAACGAGAGGCCGCCTGGCTATTTAATTTAAAGACCCTCCCTCCCTTCTGTGTCAACGTAGAGTTTGATCGGAAGACATTCCTGTGATTATTGTGTTTTTGCTATCCATTGTAAATAATATTGTGTTTGTAGGCCTATATGATGTAACCTAATTGTATCTATGATCGTATATTATTCATTCATGCTTTTTATATGTTCTATTGATATATGTAAATCGACCAATAAAAAAATGCCACAGCCGGTCATAATTACAATCACCTGTGTGTGTCCTTTGAAACCCTCTATAAACTGGTGACCTGCAGTGTTGGTCATTATACCCTGATGAAGACAGCTTGGCTATCGAAACGTTGGAAATAAATTATTGCATCGGCGCTCCTAGAGTGTGCGGCTGACTTTAGTTACGCCTAATATGAGCCATTCACCAGTGGTGTAAAGTACTTAAGTAAAAATACTTGAAAGTACTACTTAAGTAGTTTTTTTGGGGTATCTGTACTTTACTTTACTATTTCTATTTTTGACAACTTTTACTTCACTACATTCCTAAAGAAAAGTATGTACTTTTTACTCCAAACATTTTCCTTGACACCCAAAAATACTTCTTACATTTTGAATGCTTAGCAGGACAGGAAAATTCTCTAATTCACACACTTATCAAGAGAACATCCCTGGTCATCTCTACTGCCTCTGATCTAGCGTACTTACTAAATACATTCTTTGTTTGTAAATTATGTTTGAGTGTTGGAGCGTGTCCCTAACCATAAATTTTTAAAAAACAAGAAAATGTTGCCGTCTGGTTTGCTTAATATAAGGAATTTGAACTGATTTATACTTTTACTTTGACTTTTGATACTTAAGTATATTTTAGCAATTACATTTACTTTTCATACTTAAGTATATTTAAAACCAAATACTTTTAGACTTTTACTCAAGTAGGATTTTACTGGTTGACTTTCACTTTTACCTGAGTCAATTTCTATTAAGGTATCTTTATTTTTACTCAAGTATGACAATTGGGTACTTTTTCCACCACTGCCAAACCAGCATCAGGCGGCAGACCATTTTATTGTTTTCCACCTAATATTCTTGTGTTGTGTACATCAGTACGTAACTGCTTGAGTGTATTGCCTTTCCCTTTCCATATTATTTGTTGTCACTGTATTGACATTTAAACACTATTTCTCTATTTAACACTTGTATTTTATTTGTTTATGCTAAGTATAATGCGGTTTGCTAGGTCTTGCTATGCTAGCTAAATTATTAGCTTGTATTTTGTAGGCCTACCTGAGGTAAATGATGTACACCACTGTGAATAAGAACATGTTTGTTTACGATATATTGTTGGGATTTCTGCCTCCATTGGTTAATACTCATGCCTACATTGGTTCATACTCATGCCTCCATTGGTCTGTTTTGACCTGTAGTCGCTGCCAGTTTGGAAGCCTTTGTTAAGGCCTCTAGAAGTGCAAGTGATATAAAACACAAAATATTCATTAATATACTGTAATGTGTAAACACTTTACCTAGCAGCCAACCTGCGTACACCTATCCCTTGTAATTACAAGTCAAATATTGTGAAATACAAACCCCTCCCCTCAATGAATTTCATTCATTCATTCATTCCGATTATGGTAGTATTTACTTTTCTACAGTATAATACAGTCAATTTTACGGTATTGTGTGTCATTACATAGTACTTGCTTTGATACTGTATTTATATTACAGTAGGTGTACTGTAATATGAAATACAGAATGTTACTTGCCACTGATAAATAAACAAGAAACAAACAACAACAAATAGGCAAGGCAAACCCCCCCCCCCACCCACCCTCCCCGCCAGCCGCACTCTCAGCCTCATTCATCTTTTCCTCCATCAATATCACCATCGTTGTCGTCGTAATCACCATCATCGTTGTCGTCGTAGTAATCATCCTCATCCACTTCCTCGATGTCCTCCACTTCAAAGTTTCTGCCACTGCCCTCAATAAAAGCCCTTCTGAACAATTCACATTGTCCCTCTGCATGCTGGTACTCAGCAATCTTTCCAGCAACGACAGCTCTTGCCCCAAGACAAAATTGATCTTGCTCTGTGTAATGTTGTAAGGCCTCCACGATCAGTTCCTGCTCATGTGAGTAGAGCTTCTTGGCAGTGAAGATATCATCCTCAATGTACCGCTTGTCTTCACACGCCCACTCTCTGAGGGAATGGAGCACAAAGAGCCTTTGCTTGAGGTGAAACTCCCATCATCCTCTGCTCCTCCTACTCTCCAGGACCAAACAGTGCTGTCCACCTGCACTGCATCCTCATACACCAGGGTATGTGGGAGCTGTGATGACAAACCTTGTCTCCTCAGGTTGTAGTCCTTCACATTGGTTTTTATGCTACTACCGACCGTGGCAAGTCTTTTGGATAGGCGGTTGGCAATACCTTGACCATGTATTGATAACAGATAATACAGACAAAAAAATAAGTTTAAAGGTAATCCAATCTAAACAAAAAAATATTCAAAAATGACAAAAGCTGCTATACAATTACTATATTACCGTCCAACAATAGACCATTAACAACTGAAACAAGTTCAGAAATAGAAAAAAATATAAATTATTATTGTGTCCGCCCACCCAGAAATATCATAGAACTGGCTCTGATATGAGTTGACTTCTTCCTATTGTTGAATATGGTATATATATATATATATATATATATATATATATATATATATATATATATATATATATATATATATATATACACACAGTATATTCGGGGTCAAGAACATAGACAACTTTGAATTTCACATAGTAAACATAATCAACAACCTTAAAAAGTTTAGGTTTGGTGAAAAATGTAGGGGAAATATTGTTACCTCTGGATGCATCATAATTAGCTTTGTCCCAGCCATAACAGCCCATAGGGCAGAAGCCTATCTCCTGTTTCAGTAGTGTGAGGCAGCTTGATATACAAGTACACTCCCTGGACAGGACTCTAGTCTATCGCAATGCCTTTCCCCCA